TTTCAAGCTAGTGGACTGGAAAGGATACGGTATTAACATCAATGGCGAGTACATCACTCACCTTCGATTTGCCGACGATATAGTCCTTATGGCAGAATCGCTGGAGGACTTAAGCATTATGCTCAATGACCTCAATAGTGCCTTCCAACGGATAGGTCTTAAGATGAACATGGACAAAACAAAGATTATGTTTAATGTCCATGTCACACCTATGCCGGTAGTTGTTGGGAGCACTATGCTCGAAGTTGTTGACGAGTACGTTTACATGGGACAAATATTCCGACTAGGTAAGTCCAACTTCGACCGAGAGGTCAATCGACGGATTCAACTCGGCTGGGCAGCGTTCGGGAAATTACGACATATCTTCTCGTCAGGTATACCTCAATCTCTGAAAACTAAAGTGTACAACCAGTGCGTGTTGCCAGTGATGACTTACGGATCAGAGACGTGGTCCTTCACTGCTGGCCGTATGAGGACGCTCAAGGTCGCTCAGCGAGGCTATGGAGAGGGCTATGCTCGGAGTTTCTCTGCGTGATAGACTCAGAAATGAGGATATCCGCAGTAAAACCAGAGTGACCGACATAGTCCAACGGATTAGTAAGCTGAAGTGGCAATGGGCCGGCCATATAGCTCGAAGAACCGATAACCGATGGGGAAGAAAGGTTCTCGAGTGGCAGCCTCGTACCGGTAGGCGTAGTGTAGGGCGACCCCCCACTAGATGGAGTGACGACCTGGTAAGATATGCGGGAAGTCGATGGATGCAGGTGGCTCAGGACCGTGCTTTGTGGCATTACTTGGGGGAGGCCTATGTTCAGCAGTGGCCTTGTGAAGGGCTGTGATGATGATGATGATGATGATCAAAGTAATCTATGTGCATGTTAGGACTGTAAAATACCGCCAGCAACATTTTTACATGATTGAGAGTAACTTCTATGAAGAGATATTCAGCAGATTGAGAGTAAATAGAAGGAGAGGCACATATGGTCTTATAAAATATATCCGAACGCAGGTATATAGCTACCCCACCACAACCTTTTCCTATACGATCATTACGAATAAGGACAAAACCAGGTAAGGCAAACTGTGTAGAGGGGAGTGGTGGCTTGAGAAATGACTCAGAAATTAGTAAAGCATCGAGATGTGCACTGTTAATTGATGCTAGAAGATCAGGATAATGGCGAGGAACACTCTGGATGTTAATGTGTGCAACATTAAAGTTGTTAGGAAATTTAGAGCGCAGGGATGAAATCTGGTCATACAAAGTTAAAGGTAACTCACTATCCGCACTTGTAAAACTACATGAAGATGAAGAGCATGAGAAGAAACTGTCACCAAAAACATCAAGGTTAGCAAATAAATTAAGATAATAATGTAGAGTAATATAACAATAATATAATATAAAATGTAAATATAATAATACAGTTTAAAAAATATGTATAAATATGATATGTAAATACAATATATATGTATATATTTATAAATATCAATTTAGCAATTATTTAATTTAAAATAAAACAAAACTTAGGTATAATCTAATACAAACGGAACAGAAAAAAAAATTAAAAAATATCTAAAATCACCAATCACAGAACTGTCATGAAATACTGAAGAAAAAAAATCTTATGAGAGTATAATTTATACATAAGATTCGATTAAAAAAAAGAAGTTTAAAATGTTATGATATGAACCTATCTTATAATTAAATACATATTAAACTTCCTTAAGAGATTAATAAAAATATTGAAAAACACTATTACATATTACTGCAAAGCAGAATAAATAATACATTTTCCCAAGCTACAACTTGACAGTATCACAGTGGCCAAAGGGCCGTGCGTCACAACTAAGAGAAAAAGTAAATAAAAAAAATGCATAATAGTCATCTCAAAACTTTAATCTTTCTGGGTGGGAGCCCGCCTGTTCAACTCCTCACCGCTGACGAATCGCATGCTGTGACACCCAGCGTCAGCTACAGGTGCACGCCGGCGATCGTCACCGGGTAGCAGCCCTATACGTTTAATTTTAGAACGAGTCTCCATTTTATTTATGGGTTTCCAGAGCTACGTTAGCCACGCCAGTAATTTCTCATTCGTGTGTCCGCTCCCCACGTGATTAGATGGTCAATCAGGACGTGTGGTTGTTTAGGGGGCAAAAAAAAATTTTATTATTATTATTTGGGGTATCTATATAGTTTTCTCATCTGGTTGGGTTATATAAATATATAATTATAAATTAAAATGAAACGATAAATATACATAAATATCAATAAAATAAAATAAATACAAAAAATAATATAATAAAAGCCCAACCAGATGGAAACCCCTCGGCAGGGGAGATCAAACGGCCGAAGGTTAGGAGGAAAGGGAAAGAAACCGGCGGACGATGCGGGCGGTATCGAGGAGCACCGCCTTTTGCATTTGAGCCCGGAGCGGTCCGTCACGGAGTCCCAGTCGCCTCAGATGACCCGAGAGGCTGACTGGGATTAGCCCATTCGCAGAGACGACTACAGGAATAATTTCGGCCGGCAGACCACCCCACATATCGGCCACCTCGTGAACCAGGTCCAGATATTTTGTTCATTTATCTATTTCGGCTTTCACGAGGTTCTCGTCATACGGAATGGTAATGTCGACCAAAAATATCCTTGACTGTGCTCGGTCCATCAGCACAATATCAGGCTTATTCGCAAGAATAGTCCTGTCTGTGATGATGGCCCGGTCCCAGTAGAGCTTAGCGCGGTCATTTTCGAGCACGGCTTCCGGTAAGTACTTGTAATACGGCAATTTCCGATCCACGAGACCGTATTTCAGAGCGAGCTCCTGGTGTAGAATTCTGGCTACTAGGTTGTGCCTGTGCAAGTACTCAGAGTTAAAAAGCGCCGAACAACCGGAGATGACATGCCTATGTGACTCACCGGGATGGCGACAAGCTCGGCAGAGGTCGATGGTGCCATCCTATAGGATGTATCTCCGATAGTTGTTGGTCTTAATAACCTGATCCTGTGTTGCACAGACAAAACCCTCGGTTTCCCCAAAAGGTCACCGAAACGTAGCCAGTTGAGGGAGGCGACTGTATCTATGAAGGGCTCATGTAGAACCCTGTAGTATCTCCCGTGGAGCTCCTTCTCCTTCCATACGGTCTCCCGGTCGGAAATGCTTTGTACTGCCGGGTCTTGCCATTGCTCGTTGGCAAAGAATAGAGGGGTAAGTCCTTTATCACTAGAAATGACGTCATTATAGAATGGATCATCCGATCTCACCAGGAAGTAATTACGGAGGCTGCACACTTCGTGATTATGCATGGTGAGCGCGCTCAGGAAGCCACGCCCACCATGCTTTCGCGGCAAGTACAGCCTCATTACCGACAATCTTGGATGATTGATCCCATGGAACGTCATGCTAGTGCAATCTTTTCTATCGAAGGCGTTAAGTTCGGTCTGAGTCCACTTGAGTATGCCAAAGGTATACATGGGGACAAGCATGACCCAGCCGTTATATGCGTGTGCCTTATTCACACTGGACAAAAGGCTGTTAAGCACTTTGGTCAAGCGTGCATAAAACGTGTCGCAAACTGACTGTTTCATACCAGCCTCATCGATACCGATGTTCTGTGACATACCCAGGTATCGGTATGTTTCAGCCTCGGAAAGGGTCCTTAAGTTGACGGGCATAGATAAGTCCATGCCCTCAGAGTTAGCAACCCAACCTCTCTCAACATGGAGGACCGCACACTTATCTGTCCCCAGCTCTATTCCAATAGAATTGCTAAATTCACAAGTGATGTTTAGCAATTCCATAAGATGGGAGCGACTGGAGGCGAATAATTTAAGGTCATCCATATAGAAAAGGTGGGACACTTTTGTACCTCCTTTCCGAAGCTGAAATCCCTCCCGGAACCCTCCAGTAAAGTACTGAGAGGGTTCAAAGAGAGGCAGAACCAGATTGGAGTCAGACAGTCACCCCTTCTTATCCTTATGCGGCTTTCCGCAGCCGTCGTCCGCTCGCCTAGATGACAGAGGATCGTACTCGACTGCCCCATACACTGCTCGAGGAAGTCTCGAACTGTACAGTCAATCTTGTACAGCTCGAGGACCCTCTTTAGCCATGTATGGGGCACCGAGTCAAATGCCTTTCTGTAGTCTATCCAGGTGGCGGAGAAGTTCCGACGGTTGCGTTTCACCACTTTGCCAATGACCGCGTCAATGAGGAGTGGTTCCTTGGTTCCACAACCGCCGCTCCGACATCCATTTTGATCGCGCGACATCATCTGATTTGATTCCAGGTGGCGAGTGATTCTCGCGCTCACACGACACGTGATGGGGCAGTATTAGCTCGGGTCTGTGGTAACCTGGTCTTTAGGAACCAAATGCGTGATCCCAGTAGTGAAGAGGCTCGGGAGCGACTTCTGGTTGAGAGCCTCTTGGAACTGTCGGGCGAGCATAGTGTGACACACCACAAACCCCTTCAGCCAGTAGTGATGCAGCCCATCGAGTCCCGGACTTTTCCAGTTCGGGGCCCTACGGACCGCCTCAGCTACGTCATCTGGCGTTATAATGACGGGGTCCATGGGCGTTATACTCGCACACTGACTCGCCACAACTTCCGTTCAAGGGCTCTCGCTGTGGTTTATGGGCTCTGACCACAGGCTGCGCCAGAATGCTACAGTGTCGGCCTGATTCGGTGCTGGGGTTCCACTTACCATTGGTCGCTCCAACGATTTATAGAGCCTCTTCTGATCACTCTGGAAGAGACGATTCTGGTAAAACCGTGTCGACCTCTAGGTATATCGCCGAATCCGCTTTCCTCAAGCAGTGATTCTCTGCTTCAGGTCGTCTATGCGCTCCGTCAGTTTTTGCATTATATCCGGCTGGGACAAACTAACATTTGTCCCAGCAAATGCCATCCTGACGGTGCGCACAATTCTTGGCCTTTTATTACCTGACCTGAAGCATATCAGTCTGCCGATGAGGGCCCTAGCCTTTGCGATACGTTCTTCAATTCTTATTCCCCAAGCTGGGATAACGCTAATATGTCCAGTAGCGCGTCCAGCCGTGGAAAGTTCGGCGCCTTTAATACGGCATACTGCCAGTGCGGCGCCAAAAAGTCCCGGCTGGCTTCCAAATAGGTCACCAGCACTGGGTTCAGAGCCCTCACGACAGCCCGATTCCGCTTGCTTAGGGCTGTGCGGGGAAGTCGCGGTCGATTTTCTAGAGCAGTACTGTGCGTTTCCACAATCGCCTCTTCCAATGTACTCCTCATATGCTCTAATTCCAGTTCCTGGGCGACTGTTCCTTCATCGTTTGAATCAACCACAACTGGGGTATTCACGTCGGCATTCACGTTTGCGGGTTGCTCTGCAATTTGTGGCGCCGCATCCTCAGCCGTAGCATTTTCATCCGATGAGGGAACAGCCTCACGTCGTGGTCGTTCGAGTTCGGCGACATCAAATATATTTGAGCGCAAGATATACCGAACCCGGTCTGCCAGTTTTGCTCTGAGACGGTTAAAGATGGTTCCAGCTCAGCAAAAAAGACGATGCTGATTATTATTATTAAATGTATTTGCACTAGATTGCTCCATATGGGGGGGGGACATTTCTAGGTGAATAAGTGTGATTATTGTTAGGACTCGGCCTACAATTTGTTCGATTAGACCGTGAATTTTTACTTTCATAAACTGACTGAAAGTTTTGTTCTTCTAAGACAATTTTCAAGGCGTCTTTTAGAGGAGTCACGTTCCATAATCACATAAGTCTAACTAAATATGCCGGTAAATTATAAAGAAACGCATTTAGTGAACTATGGTTATAAATAGATTGTTTCGCCAGACGTAAGTTCGGATCGTCAATCGTTTCGCTAACCTTAGAAAATAAGACACTTCTCAAATGTTGTATCCTGTGACAAAATTCCTGGTAATTTTCATTACGGTTTAATTTTAAGGATTCGAGTTCCAAAGCCAAACATTCCTCGGATTTCGGGTCACCAAAATGTTGGCTTAGTAATGTTTTTAATTCGTCCCAATTATTAATATGATCCCGTTCTCCAACTAAGTTCGCAGCTTCCCCGGATAACCTACTTGTAATAACATGGAATAAATATTCGTTTTGTAACTGGCTTCCTTAAAATGAATGGAGTATGTACTCGCATTTTTTTATAAAGAGTGGTAAAGATCTAATATCACCATCAAAATTAGGGATAATTTTAACCATTTCCATAGGAACTCTCACAAAATTTTCCATTTTTCTTTCTTTTTGTTACAGAATACACTACCAATAAAAACTACTCTTTGGTTATTAAGTGAATTTATAAGGAAATTAAATGAAATAATTTAAATCCCTCAATTACTTAACTAATTGGAATAATTAACTAAGTGTGAATTTATCTAGTAATTAGGCGTAATTAATCCCACAAAAAACCAGAATATAAACACATAAAAAATAAGAAGGGGTAGGAAAATACACATTGGTGAAGAAGATCTACTAACAGTGCAGCAGTTTTCCCCATGCTCCTTCTGGAATATTGGTGTCCGTCCTTGAAGTTGGTCTGTTCCTTAATAAATTTGTTTGTTCCTTTTTTCCCGATTAAAACGTTGAGAGGTACGATCGATTTTTCTGCGAAAACTTTTATTCGCCACGAAATAATACTTGGTCTTACGGGTACTAGGGTCCCTACCGACAGCGCCAATTAAGATAATGAACCAAACTTCAATAAAAAATATATTTTATTTATTTTGACAGAGTTACAGTAAGAAGTTTATTACTACAATATTCGATATTAACTGATTACAATTGTCTATTTATACTTAAATTATATGCTACAAAACTATTTACTAAGCTTATTTACTGCATACGCTTGACCAAGATGGGATTGCTGATGATGAATGAATGAATTTGATTTGGCAGGGGTGCTCAGCCTTAACTCACGCGCGTCCTCCACCTAAACATAAAAAAGCATATATTAGTCTATTCCGCATATCTTCCTCTTAAAACATGCAATAGTGTGCTTGTTAAATGATTAGAACCGAAATCACAAAAACGCAATTGTACAAGTGTAAATCAAAGAAAGTGAGATTAGTGCAAATCAAAACATACATAATACCAGTGTTAAACCAAGCATGAAAAACATAATACCAGAGGTATTAGCGGCATATAAAAACATATTATTTAAGTTGACTGATATACTTAATATTGTCATTATCGAGCGGGTCTAACAGATCACAGAGTACAGATGAATCAATACTTATCAATATATATGATCAGTTCTCCAGAAATGAATGTATGACACATTTACTATTTTATTATTTATATATGACAATTAATAATAATTAATGTCTATATAAACCAGTCTACAAATATTTTAAAAGGAATATATATAATTAATAATTTTAATATCTTAGGCGTGGTCCTTCCCCGGTCGAGCCGAACCAATCGTGCTACATGTATACTACTAATATAGCTGCAGCATCACTTTCGTTTGTCTAGTAATATTTACTTAATGTCTAAATTTGTCTTATGCAAACATACCCATTAATAATAAAATAGGTATTAGCAGCATATAAAATTATATAATTTAAGTTGACTGATATATTTAATATTGTCATTATCGAGTGGGTCTAACAGATCACAGAGTCAGACGAATCAATGCTTATCAATATATTATATACGATCGGGTCCATAGAAATGAATGAATGACACATTTACTATTTTATTATTTATATTTGACAATTACTAATAATAAATTAATGGGTTTATACCCATCTAAAAATATTTTAAAAGTAATATAATTTTAATATTTTAAGCGTGTTCCTTCCCCGATCCAGCTGACTTATTCGTGCTACAACTATACTACTAATAAAGCTGCAGCATGATGAATACTTTGCCAGTTGTATTAAAATAATTCATTAAGGTTTTTCTCACTTTCTATCCCTCGTAAGTATTGTCGCCATTCTCCAGGTCTGAATATTTGATGTTGTAAGTCTTCATAGTCAGCACTTGAAGGGGTCCAATAAATTTTCGACTTTTGTCTTAGAAAGTTGTGTAACGCACAACTGGCTAGAACAATTGCATCCAGGTTTTCAATTTTAACGCTATTAGGTTGCCTAAATACTCTGAAACGTGAAGCAAGAATTCCGAAAGCATTTTCAACAACTCTTCTAGCTCGGTATAGACGATAATTGAATATTCTTTTCTCCTTAGTGATGTTCTTATCGGGGAATGGTTTCATTATATTTGTTTTAAGTGCAAATGCACTATCTCCTAAAAAAACATACGGTACTGTTAAGTTTGTACCTGGCAGTATAAATGATTCTGGCAACTTAAGGTCATCGTTGATAAGTTTTTCATAGAACTTGGTGGTTTTGAGTATTCCTCCATCTGACATACTTCCATTTGAACCCGTATAAACATAAATGAATTCGTAGTTTGCATTGGCAATTGCAAACAACACCACACTAAATGTAATCTTATAGTTGTGGAAAAATGATCCCGTTCCGGATGGTTTTTTAATTATATTATGCTTGCCATCCATGCAACCTACACAGTTGTGAAATTGCCATTGTTCTTGAAAAGATTTCGCAGACATATCCCATTCATATTTCGATGAGGGTAACTAAAACAAATATTTTTTTAGGAATCCAGATCATCAGAACATGAAAATGGCAGAAAAAAGTTTAATATCTTGGAGAATAAAAAAAGAAATTAATAGATTATTGCAAAGCGATAATAGAAAAGAAAATTAGAAGAAAATAAACTCATTTGGCTTGTACGCAGGAGAACAACTAGATCAAGTTGAATAATTTCAACGCCAAGTGGCTGAGAAACTAATTTCTGATGTCCTTTTTCTTGCAAAAACAGGGAACCTTAATTTTGATTCAAGAATCGAAACAAAAAGATCTCAAAATTTCCCTATTTTACAGATGTCATTATCACCACAATATACCCAACTATCACCATCCCCAAATTACATTCAGTCATCATCATCTCATTAACATCACCACAACAAAGCCACCCACCACCATCTCCAAATTACATTCAGTCATTACCATCTCCATATAATATTCAGACTTTAAAATCCCACAACTAAGTCACCCATCACCATCCCCAAATTACATTCAGTCATCATCATCTCCATATTACATCCAGCCATCACCATCACCACATCCCACCCAACCATCATCATCAACATATCCTACAAAACCATCACCATCACCACATCCCACCCAAACATCACCATCACAACCTCCCATACCATCACATACGAATAGAATAATATACGAAGGACCGGCTAGTGCATTAAGTGAATTTGTAACTTTTAAAAAGGTAAAATAAATGTCATTGTAATACACTACCTTGATTGTTTTCTTCAAAGCCTTGTATATCGCCCAACAAGTTTCAGGTATAATTTTTGATGTAACTGTACTAAACCTAATTGAAATGATGTAACTGTACTAAACCTCAGATCTTTATAACTTCTTCCCGTAGCCAAAAATCTTAATGTAGCTATTAATCGTTCTTCACGGCTTGACGCATAACTGTATTTTTTTTTGGAATCATTAGACGCACCATCTCTCGCACGACGCATATCTCGATCCATTCTTAGAAAATTCTGAAATTCTTCAGAATCAAAAATCCTTAAAATATTGAGATAGTTTAAAGTAGCTCTTTCAGCCACAATTTCATCTTTTTTTTTCTTTTTCTTTTTCATCTTCACTCAAGCATAGAAACGTTAAAGCTAAACCGATTTTTTGTTGTTTAGTAAAGCAAAGAGCCATTTTTAAAAGTAACTACCATACGTCTTTACTCTTTAAATACCAGAGACAACTGACAAGTTGAGTCAACCACCAGACTGTGTAGAACGAATACAAAAATTTTTGGTTGACCTGACCAAGGTCACGACGGTTAGTGGTTGGTCCCGACCGTGTAGAAGCGCTTTAACATAAAGTTACATTCATATTCATAAACAAATCAAGGTTATATTTGTCATGGGCACAGCGCTTTCTAAACAGAGGCGACACGAGGGTATTCGACGAACTTGTAGCTAAAACTAATTGCCCAAACAATAAATAAGTAATGTATTGTTTGGGCACCGACACTGATGTTATCGTTTCCAGTCAAAAGTTAAACACAAAACTTACGAGGAGTGGATAAACACTGGAGACATAGGTTACGCATACATACTCCTAACGATATAGTATTTTACTTTACAAAAATAATGAGTCAACTGTTTGACGGTCCCGGCATATCGTAAAAGGCGATAAGAGGCTCTATCTAATTTGTATGCATAGTTCGTTTATGTGGGAACACACGCCAATTCAGAAATATATAGTTGCTTTAATTCAAGTATTAAACTGACCCGGTCTTCTGCGTCTTCATCTTTTTACGGTTTTATTTTATTCGAAAGAAGTGAATAGAGTAAAATATGCAGACCGACAACAGGGAGTAACACCAATTAAACGCCTAGGACCCACCCAGCGAGGAATACCTGTTGTACTGCAATTGTACGAGTACATCCGTTTGCCAATCAAGGCGATCACGTCAAATACTTACTACGATTAGAAGCTTATTTTTAGCAGCGAACTGGTTGATTAATATAGAAGTGAATTGCTTTAAAAGGAAAGAAAACAGAATAACATTATTTTAAATTTGATATCCCCCTGAAATCTAAAATAAGTATATTGAAAATACGGAATGTATCAATCATTTCACTATTTAACTTTTAACAAAATTTTTAATCGGATCGATTCGAGTTTCATTCGACGTTTTTTTTTTAAATAATTCCTTGAAGCACTTATTAAAACACTCTTTCGCCTTTATTGAACGTTATTACTTTGCTGGAACATTACTTTTTTACCAATTGTAGTTTTTTACAGTATTAACAAGCCTCCAAACGTTCCCGTTTAGTTCCGTTTTTTTTTTTATATCAGCATATTCCTAATAGTTATGTCGCAACTTCATACACATACTACAGTTGACTCTTACTGGACGAAATGGGAAGTTATTCTCTAAGTCTACCGACATAATATGGGGTGCATTAAAATCACATTTAATAAAAAAGGTAATTAGCAGTGCGATTATAACAACTACTAAATAACAAAACATCTGCTTGATATTTTGTAATATCCATTTTATAATTTAATTAAGTTATTAATAGCTGGAGCTGGTGCAGCTGTGAGAGATAATGGGTGTATAATTATCCGCTAATATTCGCCACTTGTCACTCGATCTCTCTTTCATAACATAATAATCTCTTTAAATTAAATTTTTTAACAAACGACCAAGTAATAATATGTGTGAAACAAATAGCATTATACTATCTCGATTACTCCAGATGCAAAATATCCAGAGCGGTGACGAGCAGTAACATCACGACATTATGGTCGGTAATGCGATCGTCAATCCACCTGCCAAGAGTGATAATTAAGTCATAATTTCAGAAAAGAGTTCTTAGAAATGAAGATGTGTTTCATCATCATCATTACAGCCCTTCACAAGTTCACTGCCGAACATAGGCCTCCCCCAAGTAATGCCACAAAGCACGGTCCTGAGCCACCTGCATTCACCGACTTCCTGCATGTCTTACCAGGTCGTCACTCCATCTAGTGGGGGGTCGCCCTACACTACGCCTACCGGTACAAAGCTGCCTCTCAAAAACCTTTTTTCCCCATCGGTTATCGGTTCTTCGAGCTATATGGCCGGCATTTTGCTACTTCAGCATACTAATCGGTTGGGCTATGTTGGTCTCTCTGGTTTTACTGCGGATATCCTCATTTCTGAGTCTATCACGCAGAGAAACTCCAAGCATAGCCCTCTCCACAGCTCGCTGAGCGACCAGGAGCGTCCACATACGGCCAGCAGTGAAGGACCACGTCTCTGATCCGTAAGTCATCACTGGCAACACGCACTGGTTGTACACTTTAGTTTTCGGAGATTGAGGTATACCTGACGAGAAGATGTGTTGTAATTTCCCGAACGCTGCCCAGCCGAGTTGAATCCGTCGATTGACCTCTCGGTCGAAGTTGGACCTACTTAGTCGGACTATTTGTCCCAGGTATACGTACTCGCATAGGTGTGACATGGACATTAAACATGATCTTTGTTTTGTCCATGTTCATCTTAAGACCTATCCGTTGGGAGACACCATTGAGGTCATTGAACATAGTGCTAAGGTCCTCCAGCGATTCTGCCATAAGGACTATATCGTCGGCAAATCGAAGGTGAGTGATGTACTCGCCATTGATGTTAATACCGTATCCTTTCCAGTCCAGTAGCTTGAAAACGTCTTCAAATGCTGCGGTGAAGAGTTTCGGGGATACAACGTCACCCTGTCTTACACCTCTCTGCAGTTGGATAGGTTTCGATCTCTGGTTCTGTACTCGGATAGCCATCGTAGCCCTACTGTACAAACACTTCAGCACTTCGATATACCGACAGTCAACTTGGCACCGCTGAAGGGACTGTAGCACCGCCCAAATTTCGACTGAATCAAAGGCTTTCTCATAGTCCACATACGCCAGGCAAAGTGGCAAACTGTACTCTTCGGTCTTCTGTACAATCTGCCGCAGGATGTGTATGTGGTCTATGGTACTGAAGCCTTTTCGGAAACCGGCTTGTTCGGGAGGCTGGAAGTCGTCGAGTCTGCGTGCGAGACAATTCGTAATGACTCTCGAAAACAGCACGTAAACGCGGTTCAGAAGGTAAATCGGTCTGTAGTTCTTCAAGAGAGCGTTGTCGCCTTTCTTAAAGAACAAGACCACCGCACTTCTGCTCCACGCCTCCGGAAGTAGTGCCACCATGGAGGACGGAATTGAAGAGCTTCTGAAGTATTTCAAGTACCGGTGTTCCACCCGCTTTCAGAACCTCCGCTTTTATTCCGTCCTCGCCTGGGGCCCTGCCGTTTTTAAGGTGCTGGAGAGCCATTCTAATCTCGCTCAGACTGACGTCCGGGATATCATCGGAATAGTGTCGGGTAAGACTTGCTCTTGGATCGTTACTCACACTTGCGTGTGGCTCCAACTATGATGTGTACAGCTGCCCATAGAACCTCTCAATCTCACTCAAAATCTCAGGTGTCCCGAAAACGATGTTGCCAAACTCAATCTTCAGCTTTGACAGTTGGCTCTTTCTGGCAGACAGATCTCTGGCAAAGACTTTGGAGCCCTGGTTCCGCTCGATCAATTCTTTAATACGAGCAGTATTAAAGTTGCGCAAGTCTCGCCGCATGCATTTGGAGATCTGTCTGTTCAGTTGCCTGTATGCTGTCAAATCTGTTGACGATTGCAGCCTCATCTCCCGTCTAACAGCCATGAGATTAAGAGTGTGATCGGAGAGTTTTTGTGTTCCTCTGCGGCGGGTCTTGCAGAACTTAGCTCCGACCGCATGGACAGTTTCCACGAGCTTGTCATTCATATCGTCCACTGCATTGCAATCTTCTAGGCACTGAAAGCGATTACGTAACTCAAGCTGAAAAGTTTCGGGATTCTGGATTAGAGCACGAGGGGGACGGAGCGTTGACTTCATTAGACGAGACCTCTCCAACTTAACTTTTAGGTTCAGTGCGCCTCTAACCATTCAGTGATCGCTGCCGGTTTTCACCCTTGCGATCATTGAGACATCACTGAACATTTGGCGTCTGGTCATCATAATGAAGTCAATCTCATTTTTTGTCGAACCGTCGGGGCTCGACCAGGTCCACTTCCTTTGGGGCCGCTTCTGGAAGAAAGAGTTCATCATAAAGGGTCCCTCTTTCTCCATAAAGTCAGCCAGCTGCTGGCCCTTACGGTTCCGTTGCCCTACTCCAAATTTCCCTAACTTCAGCTCACCGCCTTCTCTTGTGTCTAGTTTTGCGTTGAAGTCTCCCATCAACACCGTGTAGTGGATTTTGGAGGAATGCGTGGCTCTAGAAATATCCACATACATTTCCTCCACCTCCTCATCGGGATGTGTCGATATTGGTGCGTAGACCTGTATGACCTTCAGCGAATACCGTTTGGTGATCTGAGTATCAGGTACGCGACCCTCGTCGACACACTCCCAATCTTTACAACGTTGTTGACGAAAGACTTGTGGACGACAAATCCGACACCTCCTTGGGACAGATGGTCGCCCTACCGGTGATAGAACAAGTTGCCGGACTCGAGGATTACCGTGTCCTCCCCCTCTCTTCGGACCTCAGATAATCCAATAATATGCTAGCGCAACTTGTCTACCTCTTCTTCCAGCTCCAGTATCTTCTCGTCAGTCCTCAGGG